TGTCAACCTGCACTGCACAAAAGCAGGAATAGCAAGCTCGGCGAAGTGTACTCAGATGAAGCCATTGCACGTCATGTTGGTGTCGTCTTGAGATGTTGCAAGCCAACGTCTTGAGTATCACTGGCATTGGGGCTTTGTCTTCCCCACCAACCTTTGCTGGTTGTGGCATAGAGAAGCCTGGTTTCTCAGGCAGCTTAGCCAGCTTGTGGCAGACGAACTACATTCCAGTTTCAGCATGTCAAGCAGGAGCACTGCGAAGAATGTTCTTGGCTTGTTTGTGCGATTTTGTTGAGTTGATTCTGCACATAACTCTTTAATTTTCCTCCCTGAAAGCCGGCAAGCGACCTACGTCAAGTGGGTGGATGATTATCAAAGCACAATGGGCATGTGCGCATAAAGAAGTGTAATGTTCAATTGCCTGCTCTCTCTCTCTCTCTCTGTATATTTGGAGGCCATCGCTTCTAGGTTGGAAACCATCGCAAGTAGGTTGTTCTGATGGCATCTCACTTATAATAAGCCTACAAATTCGCCCTGCTTGTGCTCTACATAATTCGCCCTGCGTGAGCAGAACCCTCAGTCACCAATCTTCTTTCAAAAACACTACTGGCATGTTTTACATGAATTTTGGATGATAGCTCTTCTGGAGCGATTGCACATGCATGCATATGCAGGTCTTGCATGGTCTTGCGGTATGAATTCCAAGCCAATTGGAAGCTACGGATCGTTCCGCTTCGCCCGACGACACACACGACACGTCGCAGCGATCCACGCCGTCGCGATCCACGGTGGAGCGATCCACGCCGTCCACAGCGTCGATGGTCGTCCGAGTGGCAACGATGGTCGGTCTCTGACGTCGATCGGCGACCGGGACACACAGAGTGGTCAGGAACGAGAGATAAAGGACACATGATGCACTAGAACGACTTCCCCTCCGTCAGGTCAGGAGTCAACAGTCATATAGTAGGACCACATTAAACTATAGTTTGAATGGGAAGAATCCGTCAGATTCGTAGTGTAGAAAGCATCTCCAAGCAGCGGATTCTACACAAAGTGCTTTGGACAGCCAAATGATTCAGTTAACATGGCACGGTAAGATCGGCTCATGGCCTCACCCTTAGTCTCATAGCGCCACCCAAAGCGACAAGCTAAGTGAGCATGCAAAGTGTCCTCAGAAATGAGTCGGAACTCAGTTGATGCCTTGCAGTACGCTGAATGACCAGCGAAAGAGAGGTCACAACTGCAACACACCATGTGTACACTGTGGATGCGCACCTGGAGTGTCCAAAGAGAGCTCCCAACTTCCTAGTCACGCTTCGGGATGTACAAGGTGTACATTTTCGACGAGCTCCAAGAGCATTGGCTGTCCTTGCGGTTCTTGAGAAGCATATGGCCACTTTCACTTCCAGCCTCTATAGTCTCTGGCAAAGGGAAAGCACCAAGTTCGTTGAGTGCCACTTGCGGAATTTGAATCTCAAGGATGCAAAATCCATCAAAATCACCCTGCGTGCTTCGCACTCGGGGTATTCTTCTCCGTTCAGATCTGGAAAGAAAGCAGCAAGGTCCAAGTGACCCAAGAGGGGCATGTCCAGAAACTGTTCATGTATTGGGATGACACTTCAAGAGGATCTGCGTTTTCGCAGGAAAAGCACAGATTAATCAGATTGGACACATGCGTCTTGTAATGCCAGCGTTAAGAAAAGAGTGTCATTACGAAAAAGAAGACATTGGGTTCACCCAAGAATTGGTTCAACAATTTGCTTTGTATCCCACAAAGTTGCAAAATGAGCTAAGGCCCTGCAGTCCCTGATCCCGCTTGCTTCAAATGAGCCGAGCCGGGAGATCACCGTTTGCTGACCTCTCAAATTTCCTCTCCAGCAGCTCCAACTCAAGAAGCTCCTTCGCA